TTATTGATTTTAGTTATATTTTTCAATGAGACTAATTAATAATACTTCATAGATTATGAATGCGCCATTATATAAATATTTATAAAAGAAAATTACTTCGAATGTGTTGAAGTATGTGACAAAACCAGTATCTATATTTTTTTTTTCGTTAAGTAGACTTGACAACTACTATTATCCTCATGACATAGAAACTATTTACAGAAATATTATTACCCTTTTTTTTTTGTTCCTCTATGTTAGTACAGCAAAGTAGTGCTGAAAAAAAAAAGACAACGATTGCTAACCATTCCTTTTCGTAATTCTTTTTTTCTCTTGTCTTATAAAACTAACAGGCTGCAATACACAACAAAAGGTACCAAAGCCCTACGTCTATTGGGTGATGGTAGTCGCAAACATAATAATGATACACAACAGGATCAAACATACAATCCAAAAGAATCCGTCCTGTCTAAAATTACTCCACGTGGAAGTACACAACGTCGTCTTCTACTTAAAAATGGCGATGTCAATATTTCAAGGTATATAAATAATTGCTTTTTTTTTTTTATAAATATCATTAATAATTTCAAAAGTTTCATTGAACATTTTGCTTTTTTTTAAATTTGCGCATATTATTTTGTTCGCTTCATTTTACTCTAAAGCTAATTAGTATGCAAAAAAAAAGACTATGTGTAATCCGTAACTACATCCGGGATGTCTTCGGATTTATTCTTTTCTTCTATGAACAAATAATGCAAAAAAAAAAATGGAAAAAATAAGAAGTAGCGAAATAATCCTCAATAGATACCGTTTTTTATATAGAATACTAGTTAAATCTTGCTTGAATAATTGATAATGCATGATTGTACATGATTTATTTATTAGAAAGAACTGTCTTTTTTTTTTTTATCTGTGAGCCATTAGGAACAAAGTATTTTATGACTATTTGACAAAAACACTCTTTTTTTTCAGATGAAAGTCAATGAATAATTAATTTCGAGGTATAATTTTCATGCATATATATACATCTAGAAATAAAGTCGTAGAATAATAATAATAATAATCTATCGAAACTAACAGTAGTAATAAAACTTATAAATGATATATATTTTGTTGTTGGCTTTGATTCGTTGAAATTCATATGACTTATATTAAATGAGGAATTTTGCCTCTTGACTTCTATGTAGACAAAAAAAAAAAAAAAGAAAAGCTGATTTTTATATGACATAAGCAAAACTAAAAAGGTTAGTTTGACCCGATAAATTATATTCTATTGCAACAATAATTTAATTCGATAATTATATTTCGATCTAAGTAATCTTTAGAAAAATACTTTCTAAGTATTGATTTAATTATTTTATTTTAAATAGATTTAATATTGAAAAACGTCGTCGTCAATATTTAGCTGATATATTTACAACATTAATTGATTTAAAATGGCGTTATACATTATGTTTATTTACTCTTGGTTTTTGTTTAAGTTGGTTAGCATTTGCTTTAATATGGTATTTATTAATGTATTCATATGGAGATTTTCATCCAGATAATTATAACTCAGCGAATTATTCTGTATGTATTGCTGGTGTACATTCATTTGCTGGTGCAATACTTTTTTCAATTGAAACACAACAAACAATCGGTTATGGTACACGTGTAGTTAAAGAAACTTGTTATTTTGCTATTGTCGTTATAATGGTACAATCTAGTATAGGAGTATTATTACAATCATTTATGGTTGGTGTTGTATTTGCAAAAATTTCTCGACCTAAAAAACGTACTGAAACATTAATTTGGTCACGTGAAGCTGTTGTTTGTTTACGTGATGGACAAATGACATTACAATGTCGTGTTGGTGATATGCGTAAATCACATATTGTTGAAGCACATGTAAGAATGTATTTAATAAAAAAACGTGTAACATTAGAAGGTGAAATATTACCATTACATACATATGATATGAATGTTGGTTTTGATAAAGGTATTGATCGTTTATTTTTAATATGGCCATTAGTTGTTGAACATATAATTGATGCTCAATCACCATTATATAATATGAGTCGAGATGATTTAGCTCAACAACGTTTTGAATTAGTTGTTATACTTGAAGGTATTATTGAATCAACAGGTATGACAACACAAGCTCGTACATCATATTTACCATCAGAAATATTATGGGGTTATCGTTTTGAACGTTTAATTACATTTCAACGTGATGATGGTTTATATCGTATTGATTATTCACGTTTTAATTTAATTTATCCTGTTGATATGATAACATGTAGTGCTAAAGAATTAAATGATTTACATGAATTAGAAAAATGGCATGAAAATAATCAAAATCATACACATAATGATAATAATAATAATACAAAAGAAAATATCAATGACAATGACAATGACAATGATAATGATAATGATAATGATAATGAAAATACTTATTTTCAAGCACAACAATTAACAAAAACATCATCATCATCAATAATTTGGCATGAAAAAAAAGAAAGTACATTGTGACTATCGCAAAACTATTAAATTAATATTTATCCGGTGGTTTATTTTATGTAAATTAAAATAAACGAAAAAGAAACCCACACACATATATATATATATATATACATTGTTTTTGTTTTTTTACTTATATTTAAATGAAAAAAACAAAAAAAAAAACAAATTTTTTTTTTTTCTATTTAAGTGATAGTATAATTGTGCATATAAATCAATCTTAATTGTTTTATTTTATAATAGTTAACTTTAATTAATGGTGGTTAGCATTGATAGATATATATATATATATAGATTATTTGTTTCTTTTTTTTCTTCGTTTTAATATTTTATTCTGATGTTCTATATGCATATATGACAGCATATTAATTGTTTTGTAGATTGTATATATATATATGTGTGTGTGTTTGATTATTTTTATTTGATATTATTAAAGAAAAAAAAAATATGAAGAATGAACAAAGTAAATCTAACTAAATGATTTAATCAAAATTTTATATATTAAAAAGTAGAGTAAAAATTTTAATGATTTTTCATGTTTGTATTGGAATACTTTTGTTTTTATAAAATATAACATAAAACAAATGTTTATATATAAATATTAGTATCATCAGATTGAGGGAGGGAAGTCATTTCTTGGATCATTCTTTATTCTAGACATTCTTAAATATAGAGTAGAAAATTAAGATTTTTTTCTGATAGACGTAACTAACAAGTCTATGTTTATTCGTGCATTTAATTGTATTCCTCCCACGTATAAAAGCTTCATGGAATAAAGATTATGTTTCAATGTAGTATATTTTGTGAAACTCACGTATGTTTTCGAAGAAAATAGTGAGTGTAAGTTTTCAGTTCGAGGTTGGCGCCCCCCCCCCTCCCCCATCCCATTACAGACCATAGCAACATAGGCTACCATTACAGACCTTGGCAACTTCATGAAAAAAAAAATTCTGTTCGAAATTGAGAGATAAAAACATAGCATTTTCTAATAATCGATTATCTTTTGAAGATTTTAAATACTGGATATTTTGTCATTAGTATAATGAAACCAAAGGAGATATGTGAGTTCCACATTTCAGCCCCATAGGGGTTGTGCTAACAAGCATTTTATGATTATTTTCTGTTATTCTAATTTTAGTTATGCAGTTATAGTATCTAAAATTATTCTACTTCTTGTTTTTTTGTTTGTTTGTTCAAAACAGAATTATTATAAAGTCTAATGAATGTATCAATTTTAATTTATTTAATAATGAACATTGTTTTATATATTCTGATTAAAAGTATTTTTCACACTTGAATTTATCAAAAAGAAAAACTTCCCGAAAATTTCATTTAGGTGATGTATCATTAAATTGTAGTGAAATCAAGACTAAAAACAACTCATTTTTTTTTCTATATGTTAATTAAGAATAATTTTATTAGAATAGCTTTAATCTGATAGTACTACTTTTATTTATTTCTTAATGAAAAATAAACAAACAAATTAAGAAGTCTGTTTAGTATATTCATTCAAATAAGCTGTTGGATCATATGTTGTATCTAATGTAATTTCCATTTTTTCTTTTTGTACAGCTGATCGACGTAATAAACGTGTTTTTTGTTCTTTTTCTGATAAACTTGCAATATCAACTGGTAACTAAAACAGAAAAATTGAATAAATAAATTAAATGAAAAAGAAAAAAAAAGAAATTCAACTTTAACAAGATGTCTTGGTTCAGAATATCGTATTCGTATTGTTGATCCATCAGGTAGAACAAGATAATTTGGATAAAGACGAGAATAAATATCTCGAGAAAATCTTGTTATTGAACTACGATAACAATTTGATCGTTGACTAATAATTAATGGTAAAATACTTTTCAATAGCATATTTTATCTAAAACTATAAATGAAACTTTCTTTTTTTTATTGTTTTTCCCAATGAAAAATTCATAAGATTTGAATAGTATTTTGATAGCTTAATGAATTTCGTAATAAAAAAAAAAAAGTCAAAATTAGATAGAAATAGAAAAGCTAATGGAATTGAATCATAGAAAGATTAATAAAAATAGGATGGACTCATGAACTCAAATACATCTGAAAGAATAATACAAATACAACTATTTCGATTGATTCAATCAAAATAAAAGGATTTTGAATAAGACTAAAGAACATCAGATCAAGAAAAATGTAATTATTGATAACTACCCATTAATAGAAATGTAACATTTAGGAAATTCTCTCAAGAAAGAATTGAATATATTAAAATAATTTCCTATTACATATTTTTTATTATTAATATATCTCTATGGAAATAAAGAAGAAAACGAATAACAAAAGAAATAGATTAATTCTTCTTCTTTCAACATTCATATAACAAGTTAATATCTATAAGAATTTAAAAAATTCTATATTTATATTATTAATTTCTATCTTTTCATTGTATTTTGTTGTTGTTGTTGTTTTTTTTTATTATCAAATAAAAATCAATCATTGTAGATCGATTAAAAACAAACCAAAAAAAAATACTAAAACAGATTTCATTGTAAAGCTGCAAGTCGTTGATCAAGTTCATCAACTAATGAATCTAATTCTGTATTAATTTGTGTTTGTAATGATGCTGATTCAATATCAATAAAAAAATCATATTGTTGATCAAGACCTAAATAACCATCGGATAAAAAATAAAGTGTTAAACGTTGTCGTCCTATTATATTTGATGTTACAAATGATAAAGAAACAGTTGTTTGAGAACGTATTATTTGATTAAAACGTTTTATACATATTAATTCACCGGTATCCGTATTACCAAGAACAAATATCCATGATTCATCTTTTGATTTAGTAACTGTTGATGTTGTTAATTGACGATAATCATTTCTCTAGCAAAAACAAAAAAAAAGAAAATCAATTGAGAAATGAAATAAAAATTTCATTATTTAATAAAAGAAAAAATTTGTAAGCATGAATTCTTTTGGGTATGAAGGTAGTTTCAATAGCCTGATATTTTCTATAGAACTAATATTAACTGTAGATGTAGGTTGAAGATTGATCTGACATTGAGTTCGTGTACTCTTAATATATGCTAACTAACAACAAGAGCTAATGTATATCATAAAAATGTCAGTTTGATCTAAGACAAAAAGCTGTGAATGATTTATTTTTAAGATGGTGATGGTTCTAATTCAGAGAGCTTCAAAAAAAAACTTATTCTTCTTAGAGCATTTAGATTGGGTGACGGACATTTCGCACTAAGTCATTCCGAACTCCTGTCATGTGTCCGGGTGTTCGGAAATGATTTTTGTCCTGGACAACTTTCATTACGAACAGCCTGTTTTTTTTAATTTTTGATTGATTTTGTCATTCCGAACACCCCCTGTCTTAGTTTTCTTATGTCCGAAGATCGTAACGAACATCTGCTACCGGTGATCGTAATGAAAAGGTAGTGCGAAATGTCCCATTCTCTTTAAATCTTGGCTAATCTCCAGAGAGAAATATCATATTATAGTTGTTTCAGCTTCTCGAAGATGAATATCTGATAGTGCTATAAATACTCATCAAATAATTACTAAACTCCAAATCTTAACTTTTCTCATTCAGTCCTTTTTAGACAAACCTAAATTTAATCTGGGCTCTAATTACCGATAGTTCCATATTTTTAACTCTATACTTCAACATTCATTATAAATCGTATTTAAAAAAAAAAAAAAAAAAAAAAAAAATATTTTAAAATAAATAAATAAATATTACTCGTATTCGATTAAGTCTTTTTAATGTAATTTGTAATGTATATTCTTGATCAGCATGAACATTAGTTGGTAATTGTCGAGTTTCTTCATTTATTGACCAAAAACCACGTATATTATAATTTAATTCAATTTGTGGTAAACGTATTAAATAGTCATATATATCATTAATTTGTGTTGATGTTAAATGTGATTGAAGTTTATGAATTAATGTTTCATGTTTAATATCAATTAATTGACATAAATAAGATGAAAATATACGAATAAATGATCGATCTGTTATATGTGGTAATGTTAATATATCAGGATCAGTTATCCATCGTGCTTGAACGATCATTTGTAGAAGATTTATACAAAGTATACATGGATTTAATAAGGCTTTATATGCACATAAATCAATTAATGCTTGTATAATACGAATAATTTGATCTAGACATGATTTTAAATCTGTTACATAATCAACACGAGGAAATTCTAATCGACTTAAATGAAATTGTATTAATAAATTTGTTTTTAAATGTGGAGAATCAAATTGTGGTTGAGTTCGAAATGGTATTCGTATACGATCAATCATTGTTTTGTGTAATTCATCTTCATTATGACGAACCTGTTTTTTTTTGTGAATAAAGAAAAACAAAATAAATTTTTTTTTATTCAAATCAATTCAATAGGAATTAAATTTTATATGAATAATATTACATTTACACTATTTATTACGTAAGAATATGTTATCAATTCAAATTATCTCATCGAAGGCATTAGAAATAGGGGTACAACAGTGACAATAACCGTACCTACGATTACCGGTCCAACTACAGTAACCGTAGGTATAATGAGAAAACGCTGAAGACCGAAAAGACTACGGTACATCTGCGGTGAAGGTCGACATATTTATAGTGCCGAGTTATCTTAGTGAGAGGTATCTGAGTAACAGAAAAAAATGGTCTTCACCGTAGGTCCTCATCAAGTTACCAGCTTCATCGGTCTTAACCACTATATTAGATGATTGTAGAGACTGATGAAGCTGGTAACTTGATGGGAACCTACGGTGAAGACCATTTTTTTCTATTAGTCAGGTACTTCTCACTAAGATGACTCCCCACTATAAATATGTCGGCCTTCACCGCAGATGTATCGTAGTCTTTTCGGTCTTCGCCGTTTTCTCATTATACCTACGGTTATCGTAGTTGGACCGGTAACCGTAGGGACTAGAGAGCTACGGGTCCATGTTTTTTTGGGCTCGGATCCGGATTCGGTCCCCAGAAAAACTAAATTTTCAGACCCGGACCCGGCCGGGTCTAGACCCGATCCTTTTTTCACCAATATTTGGCACCCTATGTGTACATGAACAGAAATGGGAACACAATTTTAGCTTTTTATTGGCGACTTTAAAGGTAAAATGAGTGTAAAATTATTTCTGACTGTTTCTTTTTCAATTTTGTTGACTTCAATTGTTATTGTTATATATTTCCATTCATAACTTAATGCAGACCGGGTCTGACTTTTCTCTTGGGTTTAGACCCGGGCCCGGGAAAAGCTAAATTCTCAGACCCGCACTCGGGTCTGGAAGGACCCGCAGCTCTCTATTAGGGACGGTTATCGTAGTAAGACCGGTAACCGTCCCTACTGTCATCGGTTTGAACCGGTGAAACGGTGACGATTAATCGGTGATTGATCGTCACCGTTGCATCCCTAATTAGAAACGAACTTTTCTTAACAACTTCATATTTCTGTAGAGTCTTATATCATTTAAAAAAATAGATCAAATATATGTTGTGGTCAAAATTAAAATTCAGTCAAATTTAAAATTTGTCTAGTCAAAATTGAAATTTTAATTTCGTCTAGGCAAAATTAAAATTC